GTTGCACTTGTAAGTATTGCAGAGGCTTAAGCATGAATAATATGATCCATTTTAGTACCATTCTTTGCTCAGAAATGTGAGAACAATTACCTACCGAAGATGACCATAATGCTATTTTATAAGCTGTGGATTCTGCATTCCATGCATAATTTCAATATGGCAAACTATAAATCACTATCTCGTCAAGCCGCTATCATAAACAAGCAAAACCGATACCAATTCCAACAGAAGAGAATATTAATACGGCTGAGTGCTTTGGGACAACCTGATCTTTTAAATCAGATGCTTTGGTGATATGTATATCAAATTTGCATAGCTTTATAAAAAATAATTGTACTGATATTAATCAGCAATTGCTCTAGATTGCTTTCTAGTTGAAAGGGATCACAGAGACATAGGGGATTATATTGAAACTGAAACTAATCTGACTCAAACTGATCATGCAGATGTCTTTTCTTGATGGCGAAAGAAAATTTTGTGTACAGTATATGTATACTGAAGAGTAATTACATTCAAGTTTTTGGGGAGAAAGTTATAGACACAGTTTTATTATTTAACAAAGACTTCCTCCCACATGTTCTGATTGGTCTCAGTGATAATCACAGAATCCTCCAAACTCATTTGTCTCCCCTGACAATAATTCATGACAAATCACAGTCTTGTCTATTCTTTCTTAATGATTCATTTCAAAATACCTATTTTGATCAGTGACTAAAAATATGGGTAACAATTACAATTTAATTAACTCTTAATTTTTATTAATATCAAAAAAGAGGAATCAGAAGCCAGGCTAGTATCCATTATGTTCACTAAAATTCTGTCATCCCCGCGGTGCAATTACAGATGCTTTTTGAATTACCATGAGGTTATAGCCCAATAGACTCACAAAAATTTGAAAATATCCGAAGTTGAAAATGCATTTAATACACCTGACCTTCTGAACATTGTAACTTACCCACACGGCAGAGTATTGGTCATTTCCCCAAGTGATAATGTGGCTGACTGGGATCTACGGCTGGCTGCCACTCCCCAACATGACAAGAGAGCACTGTACTACATGTTGCTACCTTGAGAAAAGGTCAAAATTCATAAATGTGAAGCCTAGTTTCTACTGAAGGAGCATTGGTTTTGCGTCATCATAAAGCACAATAATCATGTTGAACCCCTGTATGTTGGGAACCACCTCTATATTTGAACTCTTTTCTGCTTATCCAGACTGGCTACCATTGATGACTTCCTGGTACCTTCCCCAGAGTCATCTTCTGAAAAGCCCACCTTCATCATACCCACCCTATGTTTAAAGTCTTCCCTGGCTTCCCCTGCTCCCCTTGAGAGAATCCAAACTTATCATGAGTACTGGATCTAGGACTCTGCCACTTGGCCACTATCAGTGCTTTCATTTTTAGCACCTGCCACAGGCACCTCCAAATTCCAGTCAGACTTCCCTGTGTGAGATCTTCCCATTCCATGCCTTGCTCATTCAGAATGCCTTCTGGTGTTTTTTAGCCATCCACATTCCATCTGTCTTCCATGATCCAACTCAGGGTGCACCTCCTTCATGGCCAAACAGCTTTTAATGCCTCCTTCTTCTCTGCAACTCAGTGATCTCTCCACTTAATATCAATGCCATCCTCTATTTTGAATTCTTGTTATTAAGCAATATTCAATACTATTTTACTATTTACTTTTGATTTATTACAGAATATATTTAGTCTATTTCCAAAATGATGGTGGGAAGGCTTACAATCAAGACCTCATGAAACAGTATGCCAGTTAAAAAAGGAAGTGAAAACACAAAACCACATGTGGGAGTGAGTAATAGGATTAATAAAATTTAAAATCTAGTTACAAGTTTTCTGGCAGTCAAGGCAAAATAAAGGATCCACTAGTTATCTGGCAGTGACTTACCATTGTTTTTTTGAGTGTGTGTGTGTGTCTGTGTGTGACATTTTCTGCATGCATCTTGTCTCACTAACTTTGACTTTTGTAATTGCTAGGATTTTTTTAAGGAGTTTACCCAGCAAAGGATCTAGTCTAGCATATTGTAACAGTTTGAAATTGATTTATGCTAACATAATAACAGAATCATAAATCTGAGGCCATTTTCTTTATATAGAAAATCCAAATAAGCATATAATGAATATATGAAAGAAAATATGAACATAAGATAAAAATTTCAGGAAAATAAAGGGTCTTAGATTGTTACCACTTCAATTATAGGAAATTAAGAAAGCATTCACAATACAATATTTTAGGGTAAAAACTATATATAGTGTAACAGCAAAATTTTATAGGATAAGAAATGAATTTTATTGGAAATAAATTGTGCATTTTAATTTATATTACTATCACAAATGGAATAGGTAGTAATTCTCCACCTTCTTGAAATACGAACTTATGGCACACACCATTTCCAAGGCTTTTTCCTCCTAGATAGCTGTTTTATGGGACTGAAAGGACATGTACAGATGTACTATGTTGTTCTTCATATTTTATATCAAAGTTTCATTTCTTTATCTAGAATTTTTTTAAAACTTGGAGATATTTTTTAAGTGGAAGGAGCACTCTAGTTAGGCATTATTCAACAGAGATTTTTGTGGTGATGGAAATGTTCGACATCTGTGTTGTCCCACTGATACAGATATGCTCTGTATGTATCTGTGGCACTATCCTCACATGTAGAGTGTTTAAAATGTGACTAGTGTGACCAAGAACTGAATTTAAAATTTTACTTAATGTTAATTACATGGAATTTAAATTGAAATAGCCACACATGGCTGGTGACTACAATATGGGACATGACAACTTTTATAAGGCCCTGTGTTTCTAAGACAGATCTTTCCTTACTTGATTGGCACTGTTAGTGGTAGACTCTTTGACACTGTCACTGTATTATTGTGTGCTGTTATAAGCTACCATGCATTCACAGTAAAGGTTTCAGTGTTTTTATTATTTTAAGAAGTCTATGTTAAAAGTAAAATTCAAGAAAGTTTATTATTTATTGTCATGGTGCCAGGGAGAGGATCATCCTGTTTCTGTCAGGACACTGTGCTTGGGCTCAAAGATAAAACTTTATAAAGCAGGAGATTTAGGTAGGCCCACTTCCACCAAGCCTCCGGTGAGCTAGCTAGCACAGTCTGCAAACTTTGCACTGATAGCCTGGGTCTGTCTCTCCAGGGTATCTGAGGAAGTGGTCCTGGCAAATTGTTCTCAAGGTAAATTTTTCTTGTCTGACTTTCTTGGTTTGCTCACAGTACTATGAGCAAGTGGGCAGGGATTGGTTTCCTTAGGCCAGCAGGAGCTTGCTTTCACTCTTTCTTTTAATTTCTATAATTTGAGGATCCCCATACTTGCTCTTTGAAATGCCATTTTGTAAACTGCTATTTCCTCTAAGCCTGTTATGCTTTTTTTCTATCTGTGTTGAAGTCTCTTTTCCCAGTGGGGCCTTTCTGTCTCAACTTAGTCATGCTATGTGTGGAGACCCACATCCACACTGCTGGCCTCTCTGACTCATCGGGAGCTTCCTTGGCTCCAGGGAATCCTGCTCACAGCAGTGCAGTGGAACAACAGAGAGCATCCAGTGCAGGGAGCCCTTTCTCAAATCCACCACTTTTCTTGGCAACTCTCCTTGCTCCAAAACACACCAGAAGGGAGAAGGGGAAAAAAAGTAAGGAAAGAAATGCTCTTCTCTCTTTAAGGTAATACTTTCGCAAACAGTTTTTATAGAAATCCTAACTTCTAGTTTGAAAGGTACTTTTGTTAAAAGCTGTTGCTTTTAAATATTCCATAATCTGGCTAGTAGAAAATCGGGCAAAAGTTCCAATTTTCCTTTTTCCTCCACCAGCAAGCCAAGAAAGTCAGTTCTGACAGCTACACTTTGCTTTCAGTTGCAGATTAAATTGTTCTCCCTTTTGAAATATATAATTCATAAATGTGAACAGTCTCTGCACAACAGCCCCTCCCATCCAGAGATAGGAAGCAGGTGGATGGAGTTTGCTGGCTGCTCTGGGGTTGGTCAGCATCAAATTCTTCACACTCTAACCCTGGAGACCAGGATTTTCCTTGGCTTTCCTGGCCCCTCAAGGAAAGCCCTCTGCCAAGCATTGCTTGAGTCCATAATTTCCTAATCCAGATGGATTCTGACAGTACATTCTCTGGCCAGAAATGCTAAAGGGGTCAAAGTTGAATAATATAATGATAATTAAAAAAAATCCTGAACACTGTGTCAGACCTAAATTTGGCCAATAATCTAGGCAATTGATCTAATTTTAATCCCACCAAGCACATTTTGAAAGTATAAAAAGGAACTCCAACCCCAGTGTTCAGGCTGCCTGACGTAGGTAGTCACTACAGAAGCAACTTTCCACACCTAACTAGAGGAATCTACAGGAGAAATGAAGAGGTGCACATTATTTCTGGTTTTGTAAATTGGCTTAGCTGTTCACAAGGGCCATATTTTTCCAGTTAAAATACCTCATATATATAACATAATATATAATTTGCCATTAGTTCTGAGAATTTTTACCGGTTTTTTTTTTGTGTGTAAAGAGAATCATTTCAGATTATTTTAGCTGGAGAAACATGCTCATTTTATATTCCCGCTCACACCCCTGCTTCAAGACCTTACACAACCATTTCATCGCCTTAATCCCATGTGCAAAGGGACTGTCACTAGACTTGCAACTTGGGGATGGAGCAACAAATCTCCCAAGTATTCTGGGGTCACCTGTGGCTGAGGTCAGAAGGGACATTCGCCAGGAGAAAAGTGTAGTCCTAGGGAACTCCTACAAAAGGCACTTTAGCTAAAGGCCGTCTGAATTTAGCCGTGGATGGGGGAGGTGGCATTTTCGAGGATCCTGGGAGCTCCCCACACACCAAGCCCAGAAGAAGGCTCTTGTGAGGCGAAGCAAGAGGGGCCCCAGCAGCGGGCCAGGGCCGGGGTGTGCGGCCCCGGCGCGGCCCTCAGGCCTGTCGCATACTTGCCGGCAGCCTCCCCTTACCTTGACCACGTCGTCGTTTAGATGCTTCGGGTCGCGGTTGACCAGGTCGATCTCTTTGGTGTGCGCGTCGTACACTTGCTTCTCGATCACTTCGTCGGCCATGGCCTTGTTGTTGGGCTTGTAGATGTTGCCCTGCTCCCGAATGGGAACAGTGTAAAGATGTCCCTGAGGAAGGCAGACAGCAGAAGACGAACGGTGGCAACGGCGATGGGAAGAAAAGTTCAACAAGAAAAACAAGCGTCAGAAGTCAGCTTGGCAGCTGGGGAAACCTCGAGTTCGAAATCGAACGAACCGCGTCCACAGCGACGGCTTCGCGCACAGAAAACTCCTGCGCGCCGCCAGCTTTTTAAGCCGATGGAGGAGAGGACACCACACCCCTCGGTACCAGGCAGGGAGCGCGGCCTCCCGCCCGCCGCCAGGGGTCAGGGCAGCCCCCGCGCGCGCCGCCCGGCACCCCGGGACCCCGGGGAGGGGGCGATGCCCGCCTTCCTTCGGCCTCTCCACCCAGTTCCTCCGGCTTCACCTGCTCCATTTTCCGTCCCCGGCCCCCATTCCCCCGTCCCCGTATTCCTTCCGGTTTATCCTTAAAATGCAGCTGTGACCTCCTGACCCACCAAGGGTCCCTCCCCAGTTTTCGTTACTCCCCAGCCGCATTGCGCCTTACCCTCGCACCTGCCAGCGGCCCCACTTTCCCTCTACTTCACTTCGCCCCTGCACAGCAGTCCTCCTGCCCCTCCGTGCTGGTCACAACCCCGCATACTCCCATCTCCGAGCAGAGCCCTGTTCCAGACCCCCTAAACTACCTATAACTGTGTCTCACCTGCGCGACTCCCCCGACCCACGCTCAGGTCACTGCCAGGCTGCCGGCGGGCGGCTGAGCCGTGCCTGCGAAGGGGAAACGAGGTCTCCACACGCGGTGGAGTCTGAGCGCGCGCAGGAGGTGGCCGCTAGTGATGGTGGTAGTTGGGGGAGGGGAGGGCCCCCACCCCGCCCGCCTTTGGAGCATCCGAGACTGCTGAAGGAAGAGTTGTTGAGGTGGTCCCACAACTTTGGAGAAGTGCAAACACGCGCGCGCTGCCCGGCTAGCCGGTCCAGCGCCTGGCGGGACAGTCCCGAGGAAGGCTGGGGAGGGATCCTCATTCCGCGCTGCCGCTGCGCGCCTCCCAGCGGGCAGGGGCCCGTACCGTGGGGGGTCTTGCGACAACTGAGCACCTTGGACCCACCCGGAAAACGTGTCATCCGTCCGGCAGATCCGACCCCAGAACCCCGACCCCTCTTCTCCGTGGTCTCGAGCTCAGAGGTTCCCTTGGTCCCCTCCCAGATTGAAAAACACAGAACATTCCTGGTCACCTCCCCGCCCAGGCCCATTCCTCGGCGGTGCCAATGCGAGAGGAGTGCTCTGAAGTGGAGAGAGGGCTGGGGCAGGGAAAGCAGTCGGAGTGTTTGGAGTGGGAGATAGCAGAAGCAGGCCCTCCACGCGCGCCCCAAGACGGCGCGCCCCACCCGAGCCTACCTCCGAGTCTACGTATTTGCCCCCAGACATGCTGGCGCGTGGCTAGATGCAGGCTCTGAGGAGGTTTCCCTGGGCTGTGATTTAAGGGAACTAAGGAAGGAAGATCTTGTATTGTACTGGAAGGGGGAAAAAGGCGCTGGCAGGGGGCGGTGGCTGGGAGGGAGCCTCCTGGCCGCCGGCCAAGGGTTTGTTCTGCGCGTAGTTGGCCGGGACGTGCGCTGCGCCGGGCTAGGCACATCCCCAAGGCTCTGGCAGCAGAGGGCGGGGAGCCCAGAGCTGTGAGAAAGCGCTCGCTGGCGCTGGGCTGTTTGGGCACATATTTTAGGCCCGGGGCAACGTTTTCCCAGCTCTGAATCATGAAGAGGCGTTTTGGGGAGAGCGAATGTTTTCACAGTGCATCATCTCAGCCGGGCGGAGGAAGCCTAAGAGCCTTCAGAGGTGCCTAGCATGGGCAACCTGGTGCAGAAAGAATTTTACCCTGTGCTAAGCCTTCCTTTCCCTCGTGCCCACGTTCTGTTGCTGCCTAAGACACATCTGTCTCCTGTTTCACAGAGGAAGGCATGAAAAATGGCTGGTAACTTTTAGGGACCTTTCACATCTCTACACACAAGGACGGAGTCGGTGTGGGTGGCTGCGAGTGGTGTGCTTTCCATGACACTTGCTTACATCCAGCCAGCGTGGATGGGAAGGTGGAGACGCAGGAGTACAGAATGTAACGTTTCCCACCCCTTCAGCAATATCTCAGAACGCTTTGAAACAAGAAATGAAGATGTTTAGCTTTGCTCTAATTTTGTGACCGATCTTTTTCGGAATAGAAGAAATTCATGCCAACAGGTTATGCTGTATTTATAAAAAACATTGAATATTTATAATTGTAGAAAATGTAATTAGAGCATCAAATTTATTACTAGAGAGGATTTATTTTTAAAAATGTGCTTGGCTATGAGGGAAGATTTGATTTTTCTACAAACTGACTAGATTTTTTAAAAAAGTTAGCAGTTAAAATATCTTTTTTTGAAGTTGGGGCTTCTCTCTTTACCGTATTATAAAGTGGCATGAGAAAAATTAGTACTCTTTAGTCATTTTACTTTTTTTCCTATAAGTTATCAGAAAAGTGATATCCAAAGAATGGAAAGGGTGTTTAATCTAAGGCTCCATAAGAAATCACTTGCAATAACAAAAACGGAGCACACCTGAAATTACACAGGGTAAGTTTAAAATATTGGCTGTCTGAACAGGGGCGTATGAAACAGGGAAGAGGAGATGAGGAAGAAATAGAGAATGGAACCCTGAAAGAGTTGATTAACTGGAGAGAAGAGTTGAAAATATGAGGGACTGTAAAGGGCAGGCTGTTGTTGATAGCAGAGTGCAAGCCATTGCTAATTACCTTTGCTTAGTAAGTATGGAATAATCATAGATTTAATGGAATACAGTGTGATATTTCAATACATGGATACAGCATGCACTGAACTCAGGGTAAGTAGCATTACTATTTTTCTTTTTTTAAAGGACCAGTTTCAACTAGGAGTGGCAGGGAAAATGTCATAGTTTCACTAATGTTGGTTGTCTTTATGCTGGCTAATCAGCAGTAGAAAACTAAAGATCGTCCAAAAGTTGAGCTTGCTTGATTTTACTTCTGCCAAATTGCCCTTCTAAATTCTTGGAACAAATTGTGTTAACAAACGTGATGCACTAGAAAAGGACAGAATCCACTTCAATGTGTTGTATAATGTCTGGAACACCTCTGGTGTTGTTGAAAGAGAGCTATTCACATAAGTCATCTTTCATGAAGGTCTGCTGCCAAGCAGTTGGGGTTCTATCCTACGGAAAAACGTGCAAACTGTTTCCCATTTATTGTTGTTCAGTTTTCAGCTGTGATGAGTAATCTTGACTATGAAAAAGTCAACAGGAACACAGAGAGAGCTTGTCCTGCATTCCAGCAAGGAAAAGGCATTCTGGGGAGGCCCAGGGTAAATGCTTAACTAGTACCCAGCAGCAGGAAAGCAACCTTGCTGCTGCTGTGGTCGGGGAAGTCCACGATGAAGTCAAATCAACAGCAGCACACGAATCATAATAATCAGTGAAGCGTTGTCAATGCCAAAATGAATTCCTAATGAATGGAAAAACCGCAAACTATTTAAGTAACCTGCCTCGACAAGAAGCTGGCACCAGAGAGAAGCAGATCTTACTCTGGTTATAAAAGCTGACTTGGAGAAACAGCTCTGACTGCATGAGGAATGAAGATGAAGAACTTTGTTAGCATAGGAACAAGATTTGAAATGAAGAAATGATGTAAGCATTTTTTCTTAGATACCTTCACAGATAACTTTAGGCTTGGAGGAAAGTTGATAGCTTTCTTCAAATCATTTATTTAAAAAAATGAGTAGATGGCAACTCTTTTGCCCTCTAAATTTTTAGAAGTATTAGCAAAGGTCAGCTCATGGATTATGTGTTACTAGAAATATAGAACAAAATGGATGGGACACAGATCAAAGCAAATCATCTCAAATGAAGAGACCGGAGTTTACGTACACTAAAAACACTTGCTGTTAAGACGTTTTGTTGGATAATGAAGTATTTTAAGGTTGATAAATAACTGTAGCATCTGTTAACTTCTGGGAACCGGACTCTTAAACAGGCTAGAGAGGGTCTGTTTGTGGCAAAATTGTGAACTTGGTTGCTTTTTGTGTACTCTTAACTCCTTCTCTGTCCTTTTGCCTGGCTCTGCTTCCTCTTCCAAGCCCTGTCTGTCACCTTTGGTTTTTCATATTCTCTGGTAGCTTCATCTTAATCCCACTCTAGGATTAGAAGAAGCCTGAGGCCTGACTGCTTGCACTGATATCAGTGATCTTAAGAAGCAGGCATCTTTTTGACATTTCCTAACACTCAGAAGCCCGAGACTCCCCAAATATGTCTTTGTTAATGAGTTTAGGAAAGGAATTGTGGTTATGGGTTATAACAAGGTATGCTGTAGATTTTCTTTTTAAATAACCAGCATAGCAGAGCTGCTCACATCAGCCATTCCATACTTTAGTCGCAGCACCACGGCTGGTTAGTTGTTGACTCCTCAGGAGGTTGGTGGCTCTTGGGAGAAGGGCAGGAAGGACTAGAGGGTACACGTTATACCCGAGAGTAACTATCTACACGCAAGTGCATAAAAATGTCAGTGTACTAAAATCTCTGTGTTCAGTTGAGTAATCACAGTTTATCATCATTGCCAACACTTACACCTCCCCCTACTAACTCTGCCCAGGGAATTCTGTTGGGACCTTAATCTCATATTTACCCTTTCTCCAGTAGAAAGTAAAATTTACTATCACTCTTTTTATCTCTGTGGGGGTTGAAGTCTCAATCAGACTCTTCCTTCTTTTCCATTCTATGAACTTTAAAAAATATTTTCCTCTATTTATTTTCTTTAAGAAATAAGGAAACAACTATTAAAAGTCTTTCACATCAAGATGTCTAGAAAGTATACTTTTTTTGCGTGTAGATTGTTGTGTTACATTCTTGTCAAGGATTTTTGCATCTTTATTCATGAGTGCTATTTGTACATTTTCATTCTTTTTTGTTTTGTTAAATTCTTTTATTTGTACATTTTAGGTATACAACCCAATTATATTTCTCACTGGGAACTTGTCCCTTTACATGATGTATCTTGGTTCTTATTTTTCCCCCATTCCTAGCCCTCCCTTCACCCTCTCCACCCTTCCCTATTTCCAAAGACTTTATTTCCATTTTTTCCATTTCTCATCATTTTTCCTTTCC